TTGGTGACATTTACAACATGTGTTATTTGCAATATATAGATGCCCTATTTATCAGATATCTAATGCTATATCGTTAAAATCATGAATGTTCTGCGGACCTGGTTTAACAATACAATTTTACGAGCTTCCGTGTGTTGGCAAAGTAATAAAGAACTCGGGGATTATGAATTTTTACTATTTTATTCAAAACTTGAGAAGCCGCATGGGTTTGGTTGGTATATGGTTCTGGGGTGTTTGTCCGTTCGACCATGGATCTGTACCTTCGTCCTTCAATCTTTCCACCTGTTATGCTTTGTGGGTACCTATCACTTATAATTATCAACAACTCCTTTTATACCACTGAATAAAATTAATGAGACTTGTATGGATTTTTATTCATTTATAGTGTAATTTTGCACCTCTCATTTTACTACTGTTTCATCGGACACACACTTTGGGTCTTAACACGGCAAATCATTGAATCTGTCATTCTTAATAACACTAAATAATGTTACTGTTGGCCTGTTTGCATATCGACCTGCTGACCTGTTTACCTGTCGATCTGCTGACTATAAACTTTACTGAGTATCGGTGGTAAATATTTATTCATGGCTTACCTGTCGACCTGGTGACCTGTAGACCTGCTTACCCTTATGTATTGTTATTCAAAGCTTTATGAATATCTAAATTATATTATGTAGATGATATTAATAAAAATGTTAATTGAATATTCATAGATAATGGGCTATGCCTATTTACTCAGTCTGTTAAGAGTGTGAATTTGCAGAAACTACAATACCGTATACTACATTTCACCCGGGAAAAGAAGTAGAATATTAAAAAATACACATACCCATACACATTCAGCAAATTTATTACTAACATTCTCTCTATGTATATCGCAAGTGAGTTAAGGATAAATATGTTTTTTCTAGGCAAATGGGCGAATAAAAAATGCAAATTGTATATATTGTATGTACAAAAACGTTCAAATTGATTTTCTTATACAAACTTAGTACCCATTTATATTAAGTTAAGCAATATTATTATTGGTTTTAATTAAATATTTTGGATAGAGATCTCTATACGTAGCCCTAACTCACTTATTAGTATTAAATACCTTCATATCAGTACGTTTGAATACATTTTAAAACAACTAATATCAAAATAAAGTTGCTTATTGAATAAAGGGTACCTATCTTTTATCCACAAGTCCTACTATAACACTAAATAGTTTTTCATAATGCCTTTTACAGAGTATTTTAAATAACATATTTCCATTATGCACCTCCTTTACTTTTTCCTTCGGTATCTTAAAAGCAAAATATGGACATTGACATTATATTAAAATTGTATACATGGTTAGGTGTGATTTAGCAAGCCCACACTACCTCTAGCTTGTTTTAAAAGGTATCCACAAAGTTTTAGAGTTTTTGATGTGGTACGTTGACATATTCGGTTTGTTATCGTACATGCATGTTTTCTGTCACAGTTGCACTAATTTTCCCATCCATATTTGCCATAACCTTCTCAATGTGTCTTCAAGCTATTTTCCTCATCTGAATGTCTATCTTCTCAAACAGAAACTGCCATTCAGCAATCATTGGTACATCTTTAGCATTTTCCTTTTCTTAAGACTCAATGTCCATGTTTTTTTTTATTTATTACCATATTGTAAGGGCGGTCGTTGTTGGCATGCTGCATCAATAATAACATTGAAGAAAAGTCGAGAATACTGACGATTCCATCTCTAAATGTATTATATATATTCTGGCCTGTAACCTTCAACAAGTCACGCCTTTGCATCCATATATTCCTTTAAAATCTTCGTCCCTTATTTTCTTCGACGTTAATAAAAAAACGACTTTAATTAAAAAAAATGACCCGAACGGATAATAAAACATTATAAATTGACACAAACCTAGTAACTCCAATAATATGTACAAGAATTATGGTCATTCCGTATAATTTAATTTAAGAATCGGGGAAATAAAATTTCTTTACTTTTAATTAGACTTAGTTCAAATCCACTGCTCAGTAATACTTCCCTAGTAACGGAGATGATGGAAGGCGTATTAAAACCATAGTCATAGACTAAGCAGTCATTTGTTTGTTCACATGTGGTAAGTCCTAGTTTTTGTTTGAAATTAAAGGTACAAAATTTTGCATGAATCCAGAGGACTGAAATTGAGAGGATTTCATGAATACAGATTATTAAGCTGGTTGTCAGAGGGGTTTGTTCCAATACCAAACCAAGTTATACAGAAATAATTTCTGTTCCTTTTTTAAATATGAACGAATCAGAAACTAGAATACAAAGAAAAATTATCCCCCCCCCCCTTAATATTATCAAAACGCCAAAGCGTTTGTGCGGTATTTAAGCATATATTAGTTATCTAAAATATATATATATCCAATATTTAATGTGAGCATGCAGAAGTGTCTTTGGAATACGTTCTTCAGTTACGATCTTACAAAACAAAATTGAAGCTCTATGGTTTTCCGGTTAGAAGTAAATATTATGCAACAAACTGACAAAAAACCACGTGTCGCTATTGAATCGTGACCGCGTAGTAGAGAGTCATATTTTGGAATTCATTCAGCTTATTGGAGAACTGGTGTGACGAAAACATCGTCATGAGTTAAAAATCGCCTTCCATATAAGGTAGTAAAACCCAACCTGCTAAACATAGACTATTTATAGCCACTGATCAAGACGTCTAAATCCAAAGTCACTGTCATTGGGTGAATTGTTGAAATACTGACTAATCATGAGAAGTTTTTTTTTTTAGAATTTTTTTGTAGGAGTAATTCTATTATAATATATATACATGTACGATTGAGAAAATTTAAGCATCAGTGTGTAACCAGAGTATGTATGCTCTATGATTTGAACTCAAAACGTAAAAAAAAACATTAACATAACTACAGGTAGGATGTTTTTCATGATTATACACTGTAGAAGAAATCAATCGAAAGCGTAAGCGATAACAATTTACATCTATATAAATGTGTATTGATTCTAACAGATAATTATGATCATAGGATAACAAGTCAACAATAAAAATCGTTTATATAATGTTCAGTGCTAAAGAAATTAACCCTTTTTCTTTATTTACTGATTTTAGCATTTAAAATTTTTTTGAATAGTTAAACCTTTTTATTTCTTTTGAAAGAAATCTGGATCACATTTAGTTCTGGTCCAGTCTCTTTAGAAAAAGAGTTGTATACGTTCATATTCATGAATTGATTGCCTAGATATAGATATTGATATGGTTGTTTTTAATATTTAATCATATATTTTGACAATATATGTTGATCTTATACCAGTGCATCTGTATTTAAAAAAATCTGGGTTTTTAGAATATTATACAATATCTTCATGTGTGAACATCTCATTACCAATTGTTCAGTACTCTTCCATCGGCTTGATAAGACACTTGCACATAGATCCTTCATTTTATTGTAAGATTCAGGTGAGCTTTTCTAATCTTGGTTTGTATTTATTGTTTGTCCGTCCGTCTGTTTGTTCGTCTGTCTGTAATTACAAATATTCTCCAAAGCACTAATTATAACGAAACTGAGTATATACATGTACCATGTATCAAATCAGAATTTTATTTTCCTTTTATTTATTGATTTAAATTGTCAGATAAACAAACCAAAAGTGATCTCATTACTTAAGCATCCAAAAAGGTATTCTATTCCTGATTGCAACATATGCAATGAAATTGATAACATAACAGATTTGAAGGTGTAGAATACTCAGTATATTTAGACATACATGTTAATCCCATTTATTTCTAATAGTATGTTAGGGTGGGATAATGATATGTATAATCTTTGTTAATTTACTACTGATTATATATCCAAATATTTGAAATTTTTCTCTCATTAAATATTAATTCCTATCTACAATAAAATGGTTAAATATAAAATCAGAGAAGCACGTACTTGATGGACATTATACATATATTACATGGCTTCGAGGGCAGCATACCAGAATATTTGCCCCAAGGTGACAGGAAAGCCCTGGAGTGTTATGTCGCCCGATGCCGCAGGCAGAGGGCGACATAACACTCCAGGGTTTTCCTGTCACCGAGGGGCAAATATTCTGGTATTACTGCCCGAGAATTAAGCCATGTAATATATGGTATATAACATTTTTAAGCATTGAACCGAAATCGATCATCGAACATATTTATTGAACACTATGTACACAGATGTACGTTGAGAATAATTCTGAAATATCCCGGCCGTCCTGTTTCATGACAGAATGTTTTCAGTATGCTGACACTTGTGCTAATAACCTTTGTTGTATTTAAAGAATTTTTCTCCTCAGTTAAATTATCTAATTCCTCTGAATTCAAATAAACAAATTGCAGACATTATCTCGACTTTTTAACTTTCGCGGAACTGTTTACGTTTGCTTAGCAACTGCCTCTGTGAATTTCGAACCCGACGTAATTAATATGCAGAATGATGGCACGCGAGGGAACATAACTGTGTTCGGGAGGGCAACATAACTGTTTCCGGGGAACATAACTGTATCCGGCGTGATTCGGCAGTTTTTCATGGCATATGGATAAAAATATTATATTTGTGATATAATGGGAAAACTTCTTCAAAAATGTTATATACAAGGATAAAACATTTGGCCGTATTGGGATTGGAAATCCTCACAAAGACACATTTTATGGAAATAAGATTTGAAAAACGTTTTAAAATCTTTTGATTAGCAGGGTCAAGCAAGTTGACTCTTATGAGTATTGTTATCAGCTGGGCCTATTTTTAATTCATAATATTCTGAACGGTATTGTACACATCGACAATTCTGCAAAAAATAAATGTGTATTACATGTAATTAAATAACATGATTTATGAAGATGTCGTTTGCATCATCATCATCATTATCACTATTATTATCACTATTATTTCTATTATTATTATTATTATTATTATTATTATTATTATTATTATTATTTGTAGGCGTTCTAGTGGATGAAATACCAAAAAAAAAATGCATTTTTCACTCGAATCTTTGATAATGGCTTTCTTAACATCAACTTCTCTCACACTTATGATACAAGGTGAAGATCAAATCCATGATACGGAGAAGGTACTTGGCGCTTTAATGATTTATCTCCTTTTCAACCAAAGAAAATATTAGATGTATGTCAGTCGTGTTTAACAATACACTTACTCTGAAATTTCTTTTCTTTATTGTGTTTTAGAATACCTCCAGTAGTTATTCATCGCGTGAGATTTTTAATATTTTTTTTTCTTTACAAACTATATTTAACACTTGCAGAGAATATCATGGATCAAAATTATTTGTTATTCTTTTAGAATAGACGAAAAACTATCTCTTTGTGATGCCATATTCTATTTCTTCATCTTTCAAGACGTACATATACTTAAAATCTTGATTTTTTTTTAAACATAAAAATGCTGAGTTTGCGATATCTAATCAGGCATTACGATTAAAAATATAATAGTTTCACTAACCTATAAAAGTCAAATCATTTTAAGCTTATCAAACAAAATTTCTTTCTGTAAGAAGTTAAGTCTTGACAATAAAAAAAATTATTTTAAAATTTTCAGTTCTCCAAATATTTTTTTCTTATATCGGTATATTCCTAAACAAATTTTGAAATCGATTACAGATTGATTTTTTTCCAGTACTAATCTAATATATTGATAGATTACTTGTTTGGAGTCCTTGAACACGAAAAGAGAAACATCTGCATGTCCAAGGAATAATGTTGAGTATAATGTAAGGGCTAAAGCAATGGCGTGTGATAAAGTACAACAAGATTGCACATCACCACAAAAGTTCAAGTACCATTGTGTTCTTAATGTATGGGGAAATGCCACGGTTGAAGTATGTGCTGAAGAAAAAATAATAGTGGGTAATGTCTAATTGTATTAATTAATTTAGAGTTTATTCATTTTTTGCCAGATAACAAGAGAAAAATCATCACAATGAATTTTCTTTCTTATCTTTTAAAGGAAGGAAATGTACTGAATATTCTCACGGAGGAGCTTTTCTACAGGAACATTATGAAAACAGTTGTACATCATGTCCATATCTGTACAATTCAAGTGATGTTTATTTATGTAAGTAAAGATTTCTTTTCCTTTTTATAATTTTGGTATGTTAACAAAAATGCTTTCCTAGTACTCTTATCAAATATACATTACAGCTGTATAAATTAGTTGTGCAAGAGTGGTGATTGATCATTTACTGATACCCCCCCCCCCCCCAAAAAAAAAAAAATCGAAAGACAAGAAAAATTATCGAATGATGTTTTGCTAACGTTAAAATATTTCATGTTTTACTCTATTGAAGACCAGGAATGTTTTCAATTCCAATCATTATCAGTTGCCAGTAGAGGTCTAAAGAATGACACTGATATAAAGAATACAGATGGAAACAGTCAGACTTTTAGGAAAGATATCTGTAAAATTTGTTTATTTTATCAAGTTATATAATTCTCTTAATAAATAACGTTCAAAGATTTGCTGTAAATCATTGAGTATGTACAGAATTCATTAGTAATTTATACGTTACAAAGACATTTTGTCGAAAACTTTCTTTAGCATTCGAAGGACTTTGCTAGGAAAAGCATATTCGAAAGATACCTGTCTGTGTTAAAAAATGCATTTATCAAATTTCTTCTTTTTTAATGCAGCCGGATGAATAGATCCGGGGCGTATATTGTTTTTGTCCTATCTGTCTGTCTGTTTGCAAACTTATCATTTGCCATAACTTTTGAACCATGAAAGATAATCGAGACGTTTTCGTGGTATGCATATTCCACTAATAAAGCTTTTTCAAATGACACAGACGTCAATGACTTTGAGACCTTGAATGTTACCTATATGCTTAAAAAGTTTTTTGAACCTTGAACCTGGTTTGCATACTTCTTTAATCAAGTTTGTTCAAAAGATACCAAGATCAATGACTTTTTTTCCTTGACTTTGACCTACATGATAAAAATACCTTTTTCAGAATTCTGTTGCCGCCAGCTGCATAGTATTTCACAGCCGCATCTTGTTTATATTTATTATAGCTGCAATCTGGTGATCTGTATAGTAGCACTTACCTTATCGGTGATCCTAGTGGTGTGGTTCATAAGTCGTATTGGATGTTACGTTTACAAACGTCGGAGGCGGCATGGTATATTCATATTGCAAATGTCTTAAATAACTACTTGTTGGATAAGTTATTTTCTTTAAAAAAAAATCAAACATTCGAATATTCCTTTAAAGTAAATTAGTCGGGAAGAGTGTATGTTTTTCCATTATTTAATTTCAGTTATTCTTTTACAGATTGTGATTCTGAAATCGTATGTAACGAAGGCGAATCTATTTATGAGCATAAGGAATCTCAACAAGGTAAGATTTGATATTAAGGACAGATAATACAAACCAAAAATAAATGCCTGGATTGATAAATACTAGTATTTCTGGACCTATTTTATTGCAATGTTGCTTTTTATGATTAACTAAAATATAACGAAATTGTAAACTTTCTATAATGTTAAAAAAATTACTTTTCTACAAGCATCTAATTCATCTAACTAGTACAAATATTTTTTCTTTAAATCCCAGCACATGTATTGTGAAACTATGAATGAAAATAATTGCGTTGAAACTTGTTCATTTTACTTACTGAAACATGAATCAAGTTGTTATTTTCAAATTTTTATTCAAAAGTTTTTATCATATGTCCTGAAATTACGTTTTTCATGAATGTCAGTGCTCACATAATATATTGTGTATTACACATACCATTTTGTTTTTAGAAATCCTAGATCCTGAAACTAAAACGCTGAAAACAGAGGATGCAATTTCTGGAAACAAAGAAAGTTTTAAAAAGAGAAAAAGTCCCAAAACAAGTTTACGAAATTGTTGCTTAGTAAGGCAACTTTCTGCAAACATCAATTGAAAAATTTTATGTTAGTTTCTTAGTCAATACTATTTATATTTTATTTTTGATATATCTAAAATGAGATCAGCATAATAATCATCAAAGCAGTTAATAGTAATATGTGGATCATTGTACGTGTATTATATTTCTAAAAGCACTTGATCTATGTTTTAATCTACTGAAGCGCATTTTTGGTTCACATTGAAAGAAAAATTTAACACTTTACAGTGTAAGCTAATAATATTACTCATATAAGCAGACATATAAACATGCATTTGTTTTCAATAACTTTAGAAACATTGAATACTTTCTAAGTATATGACTTTTGAGATATTTATGTTATCGTTTCAAACATTTAAAACCTGTAGCTCTGATTAAGACAATGTCTCAACATGCATAAAATACTAGTTATTTCAAATAATTTCATTTATGTGACATCTTTTCCATATTTTATAATTTTATTATATAACAATGTATTGTACCTAGTTTTATACAAAACAGCTATACTTATTATTATCTAACTAGTTTTACCCTCTTCCTTTACCAAGTTGGTTCAACGAATCAGCAAAGCTCGTATCTATCATATGATCATTATTGATCAGTTCGCCAGAAAAGAAAGTGACGTTTATTGAGCTGTATAAATTTTCAAATTCACCAGCCATCCCATCTGCCACCAATGCTTGTCATTTGTTTTATGTTGAGTCATGGGAGGTAGCGGCTGTTGGTTTTTTGTTTTGTTATTTGTTATTTATTATTTTGTTATAGCCACCTTGAAATACATGTACCGGGTATATTGTACCAGGGTTTGAATTCCTATTCTAGTCTGATCGACCCATCCCCTTTTCCCGATGCATATCACAATGCAATATCATTATGGTGCTGTAGGTCAGAGTGTGTAATATTTTTCCTAAGATGTCTATTACTCTATTTTTACACCCCTTTTTTCTTAATATCAGATTGTTATCTGTGTTATATAAATGTAGTTCTTTTACCATTTACTTCAATAAAGACATATTTCACTTGTACATTATGTTATTGAATATTGCCTGCTTTTGACAAAAAAAAAAAAAAAACAGGTCAGCACGTTTGGCAGGAGATGTAAGGAATATAATTAAAAATTATATAGAAACGAAGATATACATTTAATTTATGTAATGAAAAGTTTGTGAATAAAATGGATTTACACACGTTACATGATGGCAGAAAAATTGTATCGTAATGGTGAGTTCATAGAACTGGCCGCATCTCCCTTATATTGTCGCTGCTATTTCACAATTTCTGTAGATTTTTAGAAATCTTTCTTGCTGATAATTCCAATTTATAAAGGTGGGATATGAATTTCAACCCCCCCCCCCCCGATTGTGTTGTTCATAAAGTACAAAAATCAGTATGTATTAGGTCTATTGCGTAAAATTAATGTACGTGACCAGGTAATTAATCATTTAATCATTTTTCGCCTTTGACATTACTTGACATCTCAGGGTCAAGTGATCGCTATTTAATGAACTTGGATTTTTAAATTATGGAATTTTAGTTGAATCAATAATTTGTTGATTATCGTGGCATATCAATAAGGAAATCACAAAATTTATAAAATGTGCTTATAAGCAATGAATAGGCTTTTAATAAAAACTAATTTAGAAACATGCAAAATCTTAAAATGAAATGCTGGAATTCAATTACCTTCTTCCGTTATCATCATCCTACATCCGATAACATTGACCTAATTATAAAACAACATCAGAATAAGGATATTTAGTATTAAATCAGCAAGAAAAGGCAGTTTTTAAATCAGCATTGATGCTGTTAAAAATATCTCCTGTATCATGTTACTGTTCCTCCAGTGTTATAAATAACTTAATTATCATAATAATGTACCATTTTTCTTAAAGCAAACCAAGTTTACAACCAGTCTATCAAAATTTTGTCAATGTAATACTTAAACAAAACTTTGGAATTTATTTGATAAAGTTACTTATTTAAAATTATAATCCATTTCATCTTCGATATTTCACTTTCTGAATTTTTAAATTATTATTATTTTTTTTTTTTTTGCATCTACAGTCTACCATCAAAGTCAAAAATTGGCTGTGTTTACTGCAAAATCATAGGCCATTATTAAGGCACTTAATTGGATAATTATGGAATTTTTTTTATTCGTGACAAGGAGTGCTTTCTCCTCCTACTAAATATATTTTGAGAAATACTTTTTGTAAAATTATCTCTCTCATGTTTAAAAAGAAAACACCAATGATCTTTTACCTTTCTCTGCATTTATTCATAAATGTATGCATATACTTTGATATTAAAAATATATACATTCAGAGGCAACGGTGTGCATGAATGTATTACTGTATATAACAATATTGTTTTTCTTGTATATTTTGATTTTTTTTGGTTATATTATGTTAATTATCTATGTTGTTTTTGTTGTTAATTTAAAGCAAAATCGTTTTTTGTCAGAGATACACTTAGTGATGAGTAAGTGCAATATCTATTTCAAGCCTCTATTTGTGTTTTTACATTCTACTATTATATTCTTTGTTTTGGTTATTTTTTTATGTTATATACATGTAAGTTGAATATACGTCGTAATTTCACTGATATTGCCATGTATGGCTTAAATTAAATGAAATGGAATTAGGTTATTTGAGGTTCTTACATTATCAAGAGATCATTATTGAGGTTTATTCTGCAAATATTTGGTTCTCGCAATAATCATGACTTAATATTTTTTTCTCGATACACTAATGCTGTTTTCGATTACTGCTATGATAGATCCTCCTGAATGCATTCTGAGGCATCGTGGTAAAAAATTAAGCAAATTTGATAATAGTTGTAACTGCAGAGATGCGCATGAATCTGGTGAAAATAGCTCGTGAATGATGCCAAACTTTTTTGCTGAAGGATAAACAAAAAAAAAAAAATAAATAAATAAAAAAATAAGCGATAATTACCTCATTTTGGAAATTTAATTTCTTTGAAAAGAAAAACGTCAGTCAGAGTTTTAGATATTTTTAGATCGTACGTGACAAGGGAATTGTATCGACGTTTACCCACTTTATAGGAGTTGCCAAAATTTGATCCAAAAGTAAGGGAATTTGAATCTTAAAATCTTGTGATCATCTCCTTTTTATATAGACACAAGTCAAAAATATGTCAAAAGTTCATTTAGTCAAACACTAGTACACCGAAAGGTTTACAAATGTTCTACAATCACTGCGGCTTCCAGATCAGTTACAGTTCAGTAGAGTTCAGGTCATCGTCAAGTTTTTAAAGTGACTTACTTATTCTTCTATTTTTCTAATTTCAATATTGTCTGTCTTATATTAATTTTGTATTTATTTTTTTTTTATTTGTGTAAATGTCTTGTCTAAGAGTTAATCACTATTGCACTTTAAAACAGACAATTTCTTTAATCTCGCTGTAATGATTTTCTTCATTGCAACGCCTTTGGTTTCTAGAGCGCTTTTCATAAAGAAATACAAATCCAAACGCTATCATAGTCATACATATCATAATTCCAAACACCATTATCAATATATGTACCGCACTCAGATTTGTTTCCTTTATCTTTCTTAGACTGGAAGAAACATTGTACATTGTTGTGAGTTGAATATCCGCTTTAACTGTGCTTACTGGTATACGTTTTGATTTTTGGGAAATATTTCTTGATTTGTGCATAAATGTAGTTCTTCTTCGTGCTGAAAGATGATATAAAGGAATGTTAGCATTTATAGAACTCTTATTCAAAGTCTTTTTGGAATATGAATATATGCAGTGCAATTTAATTATCAATTTTGAAATTCAGCTAACATGTTATTTTAAACCTTTTTCATAAAATGAGGTTTCCTGTTTTGTTTACAATTCTGTACATTATTATTTATTACGAAGCCTGAAAACTTGTAAATGAGGAAAAATTAAATATTTTATATAATCAAATCTTACAAGGGAGTGTTGGATTCCTCGTCTGGCATCCTGTTGAAAAATCACAAGTATTTTCCTCACAAAAACACTTGTTCATACATTTTTTACCATAATACGGATATTCACAAGACTCGTTACAAAAAACCCAATATATCCCACCTCACAATCTACAACAGTGTAAACACATAACATGATAATACGAAATTATTGTTAGTTAAAGAAATAGCTGATGTACTTATTATGTGTCTCCGTTCATAGATATTACTAAAAGTAGTGCGAGTACCAACCAGTGCATTCCTTAAGTTGCTGATTCCAAACACTTCCAGCACAACACTTGTGCAAGCTACACCAAATAAATGTTGAACATATGCAAATGATATATTTTATGTAAATTTAGTAAATCATACATTTACAGAGATATAAAATATTGTATTTGGTTTTATCTTTGTAAGAGAGGCGTTTTGATTATAAATGGTTTTAGCTAGGCAAATTGTGTTCAGTCGTAATAAATCTGCATTGAATATTTTTTTTTAAATCATTATGATAATTTTTCATTTATCAAACCTGTTTTGAGACCGCTTTTCAATTATTCAATTCAGAAATATTTAGTAAAAATTACTTCCTTTTACAATGCATTGAGGTTGATAGAGTGAACAAAATATACATAGGATATACTGATATTTTAAAAGCAAGAAGATATCTGTATATTAGATTTGCAGAATACAATGCAGTAAAACAAACTCACTTATCGTTGCAAACTCTGTTGTTTGTTAATGCAGTATTCAAACTTATACCAATAACAAATACAATGAGATTTTGAAACATTGCTTCAAGAAAGAAAAAATAACTTCCTCTTGCTTATTAAAATTGAAATAGCTTTCAATACAACATAGTTTTATACAAAATTAAATTGTATTTCCTATTGTTACAATGTATTTTGTTAAGTCTGGTGCAATTAGATTATCTCAAGGAAAGAGCTATGTTTAAGTTAAGTTTTTTTTTTCAATAAATGAATCTTGCACATATACATGTACAGAAATATATATATTAATTTATTGTCTTACGTCCTATATTAAAATTCTAATATCTATGTAAGGTGGATACATAGTAATTTTATTATATTACCCACAACGTATTATCGTCTGAGTGTTTTCTTATAGCAAAAAAGGGAATCGTCAAATGTTCAAAAAACAGGTGTTCGAGGGTTGTTCAATACATAAAGTCCTTAGGTTTCGGAACGAAATAACACTCACGTTTTTAATTATTCGGTTTAAATTATCTCACTTATTTATTCTCTTTTATTTAAAACACATGTCGATGACATTTTTATCGAATTTTGTTATTGTTTTAGTATGGTCCATGTTCTGGGATATGACAGATTCTATGATTTCCTAGACTTGTTTATTTTTTCTGAAAGTTTTATTTCAAGTTTGAAAAATAAAACGAGTCAAAAGATGAAAGATCTGGCGAATAGTATTGTGACAAAACTCCTTCTCTCTACAGGTTTTGTGGGTTCGGACACTTTTATGAAAAAAATAATGTAGTGGACTATATAGTCTGATATAATTGCCAAGATATTTTGCTCTCAAATGTTACTTTAAAGTTTTGTAAACTACCCCCAAAATGATGCCTATTGAGTTTGCATTGATAATGCAGGCAAACAGTTCATTGGATATTGCATGTCATTGTCGCCAATGATGGTATAGTTTTCAAAAGTCGAAATCACAAATGACACAAGTGAAATTAGTAAATGGAAACAATAGTTTTGAATTGATTTAAAGTAGTTGTCTTGCACCATTTGCAGCAATTAAACAAAGAGATATCATGTCCAGTCAACAAAGACGAGAAGAAAAAAAGGAAAAAAGAAAGATTCAATTTAGAAAAATGAATTAAAACTCTATCAATTTACGTATCACTGCTTGTTCATTTTCTTTAAATAAACTTTTAATTCACAAAATGGAAAACATTTCTGCTAATGCACAGAGAAAATTTTCGGAAATGTTATATAGGATTCTATATAACAAAATGCTCTAGATTATTGCACATTGTTTACAGTGTCATGTAGGTTTCCTAGTCTGGGTGTTTGTTTAAATGTATTGATTAAGGAAACTCTAAACACCAATAGAAACCGGTTTTTTGACTCAGAGAAAAATATATTATTTGAAGATATGGATAATGAAACTTTTTCATTCATTTAGAACATAAGGTATGTTCCTTACTTGCGCAGGAAATTGTTCAAACTTAAGACAATTGACTATTTTTGAGCGGAAATCACTGTTGTTTACTTATATTGGGAAAATTATTGAAAATAATTTTTAAAAAGTCTTACTCTTGGTCTCATATAATGCTAAAAATACTTTAATTTATTACAAATCATGTAATTAACTGTAATTAACAATTTATTCAATCTTACATGAAAGGGTAGATTACTCTTACTGCATAAAACAACTCCATAAATCGGTAAACTTTTTTTAAATATACTTTCTTTATTCTTTAAGCCAAAGGCTCATCAGATATACATGTACAACATATAAACACAAGAAAGAGAATAAATTGAATATTGTATATATAAAAATACACAGAAGATATAGATATCATTATTAGTTACAGATTCGACTTTCGTAGAGCAGTAGCTTTATATAAAATTTTCCCCAAATTAGACAATTCTTTAACATTTTCGCTACTCATTTAACATACAACTTTAAAAACACTTGGTTTGACATAATACTATTTCTTTATGTACATACTTCTCAAATTTTCATAAAATGGATATTTTAATGTGAAATGAAATTCATCTTCAATATCATTACAAGCGCAAAGTGTGCAAATTCTTTGAGATCTAAGTGTATTATTATATCTACCAGTTTCATTTTTTTGATTGGTGGTTTGATAATCTCATCTTGGTAAGCATTCTCCTATACCTATCATCAATAAGTTTTGTTAAATACCTTTGTAAGACAAAATCATTCACAACATATTGGTACAATTGTCTTTTTGAAGATAAAGGTATAAATGAAAAAAATATTTTGTCTATAAATATCAGTCATCCTTTGTTCAATTATTTTATATGTACAATTATCAACAATGTTGGATTCCCATAAATAGCTCAAACCTAGTCTCTCCAACTCTTCTTTAATACCCAAGTTTAGGTGGATTTTTTCGATATCTGTAGCTTAATGCCATCCCCATACCTCTGATGCATATAAAAGTACTCTACTTACGTAAGTATCAAAGACCGATAACTACATTTCAACATTGAACGCATGTGCTTTTAATGAATTAGATATAGCAAATGAAACTTTTCCACCTTGCTCTGCGGCATGTTTTTGAGTTTTCAAAAATTTTCCATTGCAATTAAATAACATTCCAAGATAATTAAACTCGTTAACAATTTCAACTATATCGTTACCATAAATCCATTTCTTATTTTTTCTAATCTTACCACCATTTCTGAAAATAATTATGTTTGTCTTCTGAATATTAACTTTAAGATTCCACTCAGTAGTATAATTACACAATGAATTCAACAACTATTGTAATCTGGGCTTTCAGACATAATGTGTGTCTGTTACTTCCATCTCAGGATTGTTCGTGGAAGTCGCTTGTTTTTGATAATTTAATGGGGCATTTGGTTTGTATCCTACGCGGCGGAAAAGAGAACTACTGGACGATTGGAGTCTAGTTGTAGGTCCAGGCATAATGTAGATAAATCACGTGAAGAAGGATTTCATGGTGTTGAATTCGTTGAAACAGATGGTCTACATGTAGTTGTAGTATCTTTGGGGAAAATGTTGTATCTGGGGAATTTCTCTGGTAGAGCACGTAAGCTTGGCAATGAGAGGTTTGGGTCGAATGGATCTCCGCCACTTTGTCTCACACGGTTTGGGAATATTTTAGTTAACTCAGCCCGATCTGTATATTGAGACAATTCTTTTTGTCAATTAGACTATCCTTGCTCTCAGTTTTGTCCTTGATCTTGAAATAGAGGCGAAGAGTGGGAAATATAAATGTTATATCTTTATTAGCGCAATAATACAATGGATCTTAAATTAAAGTAACATGGTCAAGTTGAAATGAATCTTACATCTTACTGTAAATACAAAGATAGTGGGGGGGTTGATATTTTTGGAGATTTTAACGCTTTCAACCTCCCCACTATCTTTGTATTTACAGTAAGATTCCTCCAATAATTGAAACAGATCAATGTCAAATGAATCGTAAAAAACACATTTATTCGGTGGTATATAACAAAATGCTAAATATAAAAAATTGTTGTTGCCGCATTGATTTACGGTACATATAGTTTTAACCATACAATACTATAAAAAAAAAATATCTACTACAGATACTTTGAAAGGCAGTGTATTTCTATATAAAATGACAATACCTCCACCTTTGATTTCTCTTTGTATAAGAAATTTTTTGGTAATTCTCTAACTCAAACGAATTACCTTTACTTATCCATGTTTCACAGAGACAAATGATATCAAATGAATTAATAACTGCCAAAACTTCATCATTTGTTAATTTTTCTAACAGTGAACGCAAACATTCCACGTTATAATACTATCTACTATTCCTACGTACGAGGGCTATTCGGAAATTATTGAGACAATTACATTTACTCCATAACGGACAGATTTAATTTCAGGAAAATTCAGGAAAATTCATCAAGATTTAATAAAGAACGAATATAACACTTATGCAAGATTTCTAATTCCTATGATCATAAGAAAAGTTTCGGTGATATATAAACATGCATATGTCTATCGACCCGGAGCAGCATCACTACGTCATTTTAACGTCGTGTCAGCCAAGGAAGGTTTCACATGTAAAACGACCTGGAATCGTTTAATCTTTTTTTCCTTTTTTGTTATTACAAATATCAGTATAAAAATCAAACAGTCTCTTTTCTTAAACTATTCCTTTAAAATGTATGCTGTTGCTACCCGAGTGTAATATTTTCATTTGTGGGAAAAGATGACTAAACATCATTCAGTGCCGATTAATGCAACGCGGAACAACGATATTGATACCGTAACGATATTAATACCGTTTGGAATAACTGATGGTCGTCCGGAGCTTTTGATTTTACTCTAATTGAATTAATTATTTTAAAAAATATATACTTATGAAATAACAAACCCTAACACATTTTTTTTCTCGAAGTTATTATTTTAGCAGGCCGTTGTTTCTGGAAAAGAGTTCTACATTGCGCTGCACAAAATTTTAGGTATGTTCGCTGCTCCGCCCTTGACGTCAAAATCCATTTTTTCGTTCTTAGCAGATTTCTCTGCCACGCTTAAAATTATTATGATCTCTGCATTTCTAATCAAAATTCTATCAAAGTTGCACAACATGAATTTGAATTAAAGCTGAAAAATAATATCTATAAACAGAATTATTTTCGCTTTTATTATGGGCCCACGAAGAGTTAGAACGTTGGTGTTACATATTTTCAATATCTGATTTCGAGACTGCTCCGGGTACCCCTACTGATGACGCATTTATATACCATTGAACAGAAAATATTTAATATTTGTAAAATCTTTTTTGCTTTTATTAATTCTTAATGCATGTAAAACATATTTGCAAATTTTCACCGAAAGATTACATTAGAAAGTTAAATATACACAATGTCTCAATAATTTTCGAACAACCCTCGTACATCGGACTGCTGAGGTGGTGGGATCTGGAGAGCGTGGGCTTAATCCATTAGCTCCTCGTCAAGTTCGTCATAATCTATGTCGGGCTCGTATAGGTAGCCATTTACGTATAGTTTATCGCGCACTAGTTTTACGTATGCACCCTCATCTCTGTATTGCCGCATCACTGGGATAAGTTGACGTCTGTGTTCCTCCATTGCCGGCGGGTATTGATGGTGTATGCCTAAGTTGGAGCCCCTGAGCCACTTGGATCTCTCGAGTACTAGGTCGAGGTCTTCCTGGTACAGAAAGCGGGCGACGATTGGGCGATATATACACTTGACATATATCCCATATCTGTGAACATTACCAAACTCAATGTGGTGGTGAATGTCAAGCTCCCATGCAAGAAACTGTCTGATCTTTGCTTGTGTATTTTCACTCCATAAATAGAGCTCTTTGATGTGCAGTGTTTAGAGCGTCCTTAAATTCCTGTCGATTTTTCAGCATAACAATTCTACTACAAATGAAATAAAATGGCTGCTATTAAATCGAATAGAATGAAACTTTAACAAATAAAAAACAAAACAAATATTTTTTTTTTAAAAAGTAGAAAAGTAAAAAGTCCATGTATAGCTTAAGGAAGATTTAGATCATTCAAGGACATTTCCAACAACAATTGAATTAAGTCAAAAATAAAATCGCAAAATATTTATTAATAACTAATTTTCGTTGATATTTCATCTTATGTGAAAGTATATAGTTTAAGTTATATGTTTATAATTCAATAATTATATAGTTTTTTTTACAATCTTTTATGAATGTTGTCTTGTGATTATAAACATGTTATTGCTCATGAATAAATAAACATTTGAAAAATGACAATTGTTATTCGTTACAAACATGTAACGATACCAACAATGGGAAAGTTCGCATCAAAATGAATGACGCGATACATTCTTTAAAAAGGATTTAAAATTTTTTAATTAAAATTCTTTATCTATGTATTATAAGGGTCAGAGTTCTTTATAAAATTGATACAAGTTGAAGCTGTCGGAAATTAAAGCAAGTCAATTTATTTAGTTTATTATTACTTTTCCTTCAAAGAAATAGCAATAATTTCCCTTTGATAAATGCAGGGTTATATTTGATATAGAATTAATTACTATAGAATAATTATGGAGTGTGAAAGTTTCTATATCTTTCTACAGTTTCCCTTCGTTCATATATTATAGACATTTTGATAACTGCATCATTTGAATTATAAACATCTGGTTTTACAGAAAATAACTATCATTTTTACTCCTCATTAAAAAAGGCATATTGTTTTTTCAAATGAGTAAAATAATTTTATTGTGTACTTGTAATTTCAGTAATACGTGGGCTCCAACCTCTATATTAATTAACTAAAATAATAGGGCTACCATCGAGACGGCTTTCCGACTGCTGGACCCCCCTTTGGAAATAATCATTGACCAGCTTTGGATCCCTTTGTTATTGACGTGGAACTGCTTAGCAGTGAAAAGCAGTCCCAGAAAGCAGTTCTAGGAATGGAACCTAGTTACACATGTATGTTTCACCATGGATTGAGTGATCAAAACTAAGATATATATTGTTCTTATTCAAAAGCTTTTTCAGGAGATAATTTGAAGCATGCTGTTTCCAAATCTTAATATTATAATGTAAAACCTTTTCGGATAATATGTGTTTCAAGAGACAAGAAAAAACCTGTCAAATGACATTAAAGTAATTTAAAATTCTGAATGTGTGGAGATATTCGGAGAATTATATATACTAGTTATTAAATCCCCTTTATGGTTTACCCTGTAAATCTATTTAGTTTACCAGCAAAGGAAGATAAGCATGTAAGACTTGGTCGATTATTCAATGTTTTCTGTTTCTGAGTTATTTTAAGTACCCTGTGGATTAAAAATGTAGGTCACCCTTTGTCAACACATGTTTTGCGCGTAAAAATGGGCAGTCATGCTTGAAATGCAAATAGCTAGATTGTTTTCAGGTTCGAATATTAAAAAATATAAATAAGTACAGATATCTAGATGGAAGGGGAAAAAATCATAAATAATTATTTATGTTACAATATATAACAAATATTGAAAATTCCATACGCATAGTGAAGTTACAGCCTACTTTCGTTTTGACATACTTCTTTATATTTTTTTCCTTTTACTAAAATTTGAATTCAAGGGAAAGCGGGAAATGTATTGCATTGAAGCAACAGGGACATGTAAGGATCTCAACAGAATTAACATGATTTATGTGGTGAAATACCTAAGATATATCTTTGGGGTAAGGCTCAATTTGTCATATTTTAAATAACACCCAGATTTAAGTGTTAATGTATGCAACTAACACTTACACATCTTCCGTTGTTGTAGTTTAATTATTAGTTTATTATTATAAATACCTTAAACGTTTCAATGAAGGTAAATATTTAGAAAATCGAATTTTGAGCTTGTTCAAAAAGAATAGTACATTGATAAAACAAAGAAATT